GATCGATGCTCATGATACTGATCACTGGATTCACTGTTCCTGACTCGGTTATGTACAGGCCACCACCATATAGCTCTTGAATATTGCTGAGTGCGGCGTTAAACAGCTAACAAAGTATATACACACTTGTTAATTATGGACGTCCCGTCATAGTAGCGACATAATTGATGCCGACACCGTTATGAAACTCGAGTAATCTGTGTTCTTTATTACAGATGTGTGAGCAGATCAACGCAGTAGCAGCAAGATTAGCAGCGAACCTTGGCGTAATGCAGAGAAACAGGAACCATGTTGTGTGAGAGTATGTATGTACAACGTAGAAAATGATAAACCCTATGATCAAACATTCAACAAAATGGTTATGATTACAATATAGGTTCATACACTTTCCAATTTGTGAGGTTTGACATAGAATTATGGTTGGATGTGAAAAGAGTTCTGGCTCTATTACGTGGAATGTTTATCAAATACTTCATCACGGTTTCATACGTGTTCAAAAGTTGTTTTGCTCAAAGTTCAATTCACGCCCTCAGTAAAACATACAACAGGTTTGGAGACAGACGTGTTGTGGACATTCTAAATTTGACCACTCAAAGGTAAAAATGATGTCTGATGCAACGTATGGTTGTACGTATACCATATGTTCCTGTTTATATTCCAATCCACATCTGACTTTGCCATGACTAGCGTGTGTTTTGGGGACAGGCGTCGCCGGTTGGGACTCGAGATAACCCGGTAGTATAACTATCTGAATGCGATTAAAAAAACACCTACTCATGATGTACATGTAGCTGGAATTATACAATGAACTCTGCTCACAGAGGAGTTTTCAAGGAAGCTTTAGCTGGACACGCGGAGGACAATTCAAAATTTGATTCATCTGCAGCAAAACATATGTCTGATGCAATTTTCTATTGTGTACCAGGTGGCATTTGACTAGCCTTTGCGTGTGTTTATGACGGGCGCCACCGGCAAAACACATAGCTATAGGGTCTTTTGAGAATAGCCGATAACATCACTGGTTGAGAGTGATTCATAAACACTTGCTCTGTAAATGTATCTCATGATGTCAATCACTGGATTGTCTGATCCGGGCTCGATTATTAACGGACTGCCGTCATACACCTTAAATATTTTTTGCGTTAAGCATACCCAAACTCATCGTAGAGTCAGAATTGTATTCTGCTCTAGATAAACAGTGATTTCATATGGATGTGGAAGGTTTTGCTGTTATTAATAGGATTATGGAAAGTTTTTTGTCGCTTTACATGTAATTCGATACCAATTGATGCCCACGTTTATTTTAATATGCTATACGGAAATGTCACATTATCTGTGAGCAACTTCAGCATTTCTTATAAATGTAAATATGAAACGTTCACAGTACACCACATTAATGACAGTACTTAGTCTTGCAAAAGCTAACAGTATAACAATGCTCTAGGGCATACTGATGATTATGTGACACTGACGGTTTATGAAATATTCCTACGCTCTTTTATCAGCTACTTTGTTCCGTATGTCTTGGACACAATTGCCAGTACAACCCTTGGGGTTCAAACAAACTCGCAGAAAGACTTCAACCACCCTCTTGTCATCAACATGACTCAGATGTTTGCAAGCGGATTCTTCAAGTTTAAATTACTATTACTATCTGGTAAGAGACGGGATGCATTCAAACTTTTGATGTAGAACAAATATTGCAGCCTTTGCATGAGACAGTTTACGTTAACACAAATATATATAACAATGATGTATGTTATGGCCGAAACTGTTGTCCTGATTGAACCATTCATAATTAACCGCACTTTTATAACTGTCATAGACCCGTGAACATCCGGGTTAGAATTGATCTTCAGCAACCCATGCTGGTCGTAAGAGGACACTTTCGGGATCGGGTGGTCAGACTCGATGACTTGGTTGACACATGTTATCGCATCCCAGTGGCGTAGATCAATGCTTATGATGTTGATCATTGGATTGTCTGGTCTAGACTCGATTATGTACGGACCGCCGCCATATAGCTGGAATATTGCTGGAGTGCGGCGTTAAACAACAAACAAACAAACAACGGACCTGTATTATCACGGCGGGAACACCAGAAATGGGCTTCACACATGGAGCCATGTGGGGTATAGAACCCGGTCTTCTAAAACTTCTAAAACTACACTCCCACTCCTCCAACTGTTTTAATTTCAGTCTGGTGGAATGAAAGTGAAAAGGTGGAATCTAACCTCGGGAATAATTTAAAGCCATTGTTAAGCATGCGTCAGGTCCATTTACTGAAAAATACAAGATTTTTCTCAAGATGCTGTAACTCGAAAGTCATTTTGTTCAAATGCGGGACTACACTTTAATGCGGTGTAACTGACACATTTATGATCACTGTTTTTCACAGCTGCGTTTCCAGTCATCAAACCACTGCTGAGGATTTGTAGAATGTATGCATTTGAAACAAGTGCTCTCCATTTCTTGGGAACATTTATAAAATCTATCACTGACAAACGGCAAAAGCAACCAGATTCTCAAGTAAGTAAATGTCCATATCAAGTTCTTGGGATAGTAGATTTGATTGCATGACAAAACCGTCCCATTATAATGTTTTTTGAAAAGCATAATCGTACCAGAGCTTGCATTTTGTAGAAACACATGGACCTTCTACAAATACTGATTGACGCAGATGAGAACAATGTTCACGAAGGAACACCACCCAGGCGTTCATGTAACCGTGAGTAAAAGCTCAAGTTGTCTCTCTTTTCGCATTCCTTGTCAATTTTCGGTGTAAACGTGTATGCCTGTGTACTTATAATATACATTTACTTGTATTTTGTCACATAAATTCAAACAGGGTTATCCGAAATGTCTTGACGATCATAATTTTGTGTCGCCTCCCGGTGAAAAATATTGGTTATTCTTTAGTTACACTTCAGATTTATTCAGTCTTTTATCCTCCAGATGTGTCATACCATGAAGTGTATGCACAGGGTATGATCTTCCTTGCTACCTTTGAAGGCTTGACAACACCCTCTCGTTCCTTGCCCATGCCTGGCTACTCACCTCGATGTCCAGAAGAAGCTGTTTGACGAAATACACTCAGTAATCGGTGATGTATGCGATTCTTATTATTATCCGTTAAAGGTGGTTTTAGATGTGACCTGTTGATGTCAATGTATACACTAATCTAGTTAGTGTTCTCTGCCGGCTGTTTATCATACATTACCATCCACAACAACAAAGGGATAGCAGTGTCTTTGTGTCGTAACGATCAGTGTCATTCCTCTCGACACCCGTGAAGATCCGAGTTAGAATTGGTCTTCAGCACGAGTGGTCGGGCTCGCTGACACATGTTATCGTATCCCATTTGCGTAGATCGATGCACACGCTGCTGATCACTGGATTGTCTGGTCAAGACGCGACGTTTACAGACCGCCGCCATATATAGCCGGAATATTGCTAAAAGCTGCGTTAAATATCAACCAACCATTGACACATGTGACCGTACAATTGCTTAGATCGATGTTCACTGGTGATCACTGGATTGTCTGGTCAAGACTCTACTGTTTACCGCTGCCATATGTAGCCGGAATATTGCTAAGTTCTGCGTTAAACATCAACCAACTATTGACACATGTTAACGTACAATTGCGTAGATCGATGTTCACTGGTGAACACTGGATTGTCTGGTCCAGACTCGATAATTTACAGACCGCCGCCATATAACTGAAATATCGCTGAGTGCGGCGTAAAGCAGCAAATAAAAGCAGCAATATCACGGCGGGGACACCCAGAAATGGGCTTCACACAATATAACCATGCAGGGAATCGAACCCGGTCTTCGGAATCAGAGGAGACAGCCTATTCTATTTAATTTCTAGTTCATGTGGGTAGAGAAAAGGAAGAAAATTGATCCATAACTATCATTGAACGTTTTCATATGATAGATCATGTTAAACGTCTTGACGAGTTTCCCTTAAGACTTGGCCAATCCGAGATTTTGACTCGTATGAATAAAGAACAGATCAGCCAGCCTTAAGGGAAGAACGACTGACGCCAGTGGAGATAGTATTTCCTTTTCTAAATGTCTGATATTATCACTTTCATAGTATCACATTTATCAGTTTTTGCTGCAGGAGGACCCGACGTGTGACAAAATACAGAAGATGGAATATCTTGATCACGTCATCAGGGAGATTCTCCGCCTTTACCCTCCTTTCACATTGTAAGTAGAATGGATGGATACATACATACATATACATACATGCACATGCATACATACATACACACACATGCATGCATGCATACATGCATGCATACATACATACATACATACATACATACATACATACATACATACATACATACATACATACATACATACATACATACATACATACATACATACATACATACGCTTACATACATACATACATACATACATACATACATACAAGACCTTTAGTATGAAGAGTATGTGGTAATTCACAACCATAAGATCACCGTTTACGATGTATTAATACTTGCATTCATATGTAAAGGATCCCGTTTGACCAACCGAGATAACTGAATTAATAGCGCGCTTTTTTTAATGCAGCTTTCTTCAATATATATAAGACAGATTATTGTGAAGAAGACTCTTGCATGTTTTACAAGATCAAACAGAGTCATGCCATAATCTCCGAAGTGATAACTTTTGCTTACACAATAAAGGCCTTATTTCATGAAAAACAATTTTACTTTTGATGCATTAATCTCCGTTTACGTGCGTAATTAACGGCTGTATCTACAACTGACACCATAGATAGGCTATAAATTATGTTCACAATGAAATGTCAAGGTAACTCTACGGAGACCTGCATCTTGTCCAACAGCAACAATTTACTCATCTTTGGATTTGGATTTCTTGTAGCATTGGTAGAGAAACAGCAAACACAGTTACCATCAAGGGTTACACTTTCCCCGAAGGGTCAACTGTTATCGTACCATTGTTGGAGATACAGAGACCCAGACTACTTTGATGAGCCAGATACCTTCCAGCCCGATCGGTAGGTAAATCCAAAGATTTTAGTTTCAGTTCATTAGTAGCCATACATACATGCGTATAAGTGAGTGAGTGAGTGAGTGAGTTTGCATTGATTGCACTTTGATGAGAATCAATCGGCTCCCGTGACAGCATGAAAAGAGATGATGCTTTAGAAATGTTAACATCTTTGGGGCGAACAAAGAAGAAACACAGGGCAGAACCGGGGTTCGAATCCATGATCATGATCGGCCGCTCCGAACAACGAATGGCGAATGCCTGGTACACCTCAATTCTCTTATGTCATGTAGTAGTCACAATCGTGGTGGATGAAGAAGGTAGGTGTTTAGATGACGTAGCAGTAGTCTGGATTTATATTATCATTAATAGTTATGGTTGATTTCGCTGAATTTCTCAATCATCGCTGACATTTAAGGAGGTGGTGTAAATATATCAGGGGTCCATGCAGGTAGCATGCAAGTCCACATGGTCCCTGGTATGGTGATCTGCCTTCAGTTTCTGGTAATCTATTGCCCGTTTTTGTAATGTGTCGTGCACAGAAATACCGTGTTATGGTTAAGTGCTAGTTTTATAAACTCACAGGCAAATGTAACGCAGGTCAAGTATAAAGTATGTATGTAATTTTCAACATTAAATACTAGAAATACAAACAGGTCAACTAGACAAAACATTGAGTGAAGATATTTCATTGGCTAGCAAGACTGATGACATCATTAAGTTTTCGAAAGGTAAAGGGGTTGACAAGAACGGAACTCGCTGGTATTGACGGGTAATGTGTCGATCTTGTCTAGGGGTGGTGACCCAAGGATGACCGCTCCGAGGATTGCATTGTATCGAGTCTGGAGATCCAGCATCCAAACGTCCGATAGCCTGGTTTCTTACAATTTGAGTTAAGCGTGGCATTGTTGAACAAGGAGTGACAGACCAAATTTTACTTTTGTTCAGTCTTATACCCACTAATTGTGGTGACAATTCGTGCATGTTTGATTTCACGAGAAGTGTGTGCATGATACCCACATGTTCATTTGTATGGTGCGTTTGGGTGATTCCTTCTATTGATGTGTTTTACTCGGGCCTTCCAAAACGCAACAAACATTATTGATAACACCATCAGGGTTCACTATATGCCAAAAACTCATATCAATTTAGGGTTCCGAATTAGTTTCCAATTTGGATAAAAAAAACTTGCGTTTCTTATGCGTGTGAGTATATATAAATCTGTGATATTCTAGTTATTTTACTGTCCTTTGTTGTCAGGTATATATGTATCATTTACGTTCGTATATAGTCCCGATATGACTTAAATACTCACTCACTATGGTTGATTTTAACAAAAGTAGTAGAATATGGTGGATGAAAGTAAGCTTTACAATGATATGCTAGAGCAGATATACCAGAAGAAATATTAGCATTGAGATAAATCTTTTAATATACTGAATGTTTGAGAAATGTAATATACTTGGCGAAATGTATTGTGATGTTCAGGGAACATGATTAAAGTAGAATGTAGAGGATAAGTGATAAATTTGTGTAATATATACATTATATAGCCATAGTTAATCTGTTCCCCACAAAGAAGAATGAAAACAGATGATGTTGCTCAAAGTATCTGTTTTAGTGCCAATTTCAGTCGAAGACAACAGTATCACAAATGACGTATTTGTTTGCTGTTGTAACAGTATCATTCATTCTTTGTTCGTCTTCAGATGGAAAGGCAGCATCAACCCACTTGCTTGGCTTCCGTTTGGTTATGGTCAACGTCAGTGTATCGCAGTCAGACTCTCCATGCTTGCAATGAAGATTGCCGTCATCCATGTCCTCCGGAGGGTTAAGTTTGTCACGCAACCTGATGTGCCTGTAAGGGCTTCATTGATGTTTCTTAATTTGCAGTCCTAGCAAGTTTCATCAGGTCATAACGAAAAATTACCATGTGTGTCTTTGTACTTATTTCGTTGGTCGGAAAAAAATCCAATAAATCAATACAAAGATTATGTATTGTAGAATTAGCTTCAAAGATTGCCACAATCATTAATACTACCCGACCACAACTGGATGCCTATCGTACATTAATCACTTCTTTCCTCAACGTCCTATTACGAAATCCCGCACAGGAAGTCCAGCATTTCTCGTTGTGTTCTGCTGGTGACAGTTCAATATTCAATGAAATCTACAAAACCATTTCCAAATTCATAACAAAATCCTGAGAGGTCATGAGAATCCACGCCATGCTAGATATTGTATAGGTTACAGATGTTTTAAACATAAACAACATGACATGTTTGGTTACAGAAGTTGCTGGAGTTGGAGTACCCAGCCACTGGACTAATTGTGCCAAAAAGGGCAATCAAGCTGAAGATTGAACTCAGGGACCACCCTGAACATTACATCGGATAAAACCTGGGTCAGCATGCATTGTTGTATTCTTGTTAAAACCTGGATCAGCATGCATTGTGGTATTCTTGTTAAAACCTGGATCAGCATGCATTACTTCCTTTATCTTATGCTTATATATCGGACATGGTATGATATGAGACTTGCTTGGCCCAATGGATCCATGTAAAACTTTATAGACTACGTTCATTTTACAACCGGTATATTTTAAATAAAACTATATGACATTGTGAAGTAAACATTAGGCTAAAATGTGTCGAAATGTCTTATTTAAGACGTTATCATGAAGCGTTTGTCTGACGTCCAACATTTACAAATGTAAAGAAGGAAACATCACGTTGTTCTATGAAATATACCTTCTACATGCGTTTATTATGAAATATTTCCAATTTCACCAAATGTATTCTTGATATACTCCGCCCATTACATAATTCACTGATCGCTATGCATGTGTATTCTTTGTGTTAAAATTGATAAAACGATTAAAATTACAATCAACGTACACCCAGATAATGCCATAATTATATCATTTTATTTATTTGCATGTGACACCGAAAGCAGAAATGCAACATTAAGTACATCACACCATGCAGGTTTACTTTATGTTTGTTTGTGTGTTTGTCTGTATGTTTGTTTCTTGTTTTATGCCGCACTCTGCAATATCCCAGCTATATGGCGGGGGTTTGTAGATAATCGAGTCTGGACCAGACAATCCAGTGATCAACAGCATCCCGTTAGTTGCCATTTACGACAAGCATGGGTTGCTGAAGACCAGTTCTAACCCGGATCTTCACGGGCTTAAAGTAATGTCATGTGTTTGATGTACAAATACCTTTTCACGGCATACATGGTTGCACTGCGTGACGTATGAAAGGTTATGAATTATCATTCTAATAAACAAACAGCTGAAGGTCCGGGTTAGAATGAACCTTCAGTAACCCATGCTTGTTATTAGGCGACAAATGGGATCGGGTGGTCAGGATCGCTTACTTGGTTGACATATGTCATCGCTTCCCAATTGCGCAGATCGATGCACATGCTGTTGATGACTGGATTGTCTGGTGTAGACTCGATTATTTACAGACATCCGCCATAGAGCTGGAATATTGCTCAGTGCGCCGTAAAACTAAACTCACTCACTCATTCTAATAAACAAAATGTCAGTTCATCTATTAACCCATTTATTCTTGTTTCTTTATCAATTTCACAATTCTCTGAGAAAAGATTTCTGCAACAGATGGGAAATAACGAATTATTTCACTAAAAACTAAAACATCAAATAAAATGATTCAAGCTAAAAGTACACCTTTACATGTACATGAAATGCTGCATTCATTTCACAACATGTTTTCTCATACACTGTCTCACTCAGCTTCATAAACATCCGCACAAGGAGAGAGATATTGCTGAACAACCAAATCCTTGTCTCAAAGATTAACCATAATCCTTAATACTATCAAGGGAGGATTTTCTCGATATTCACAGAAAGTATTTGAGACAAGCGGAATTAATACCGTGTGGATTCTCAAAAACTCAAAGGACATTTTTACAGTCTCAGAAACGGACCAAATTCCGTTCTATCGAAATATTTGATTTTTCAACGTGGCAATGACAAACTTAAGGGAAAACTTCATTCCTTGATGAATGGGGCATTTGTAAACAAGCGTGGTGAACACAGATATACCTACATATCTACAGTACAACCAGAAATTATTGAGATTTTAAGATTGTGTTGTTTTGGGGGTTTTCCACTCATTACTCACGTATTAAATGGGAATATTAGCAGAACATAACTCCAGATTCAAAGACAGGTGAACAGTTAGTAGTTTGTCAAGTCACCATGGGCAGCAATGCAGGATTCAATGCGGCGGGGCATACTACTGATCAAAGAAGTTAGAAAGTCGTGGTCCTTGCTGCCCCAATATCGGACCAACTCTTCTTTCATTTCAGCAATATTTGTCAGATTTTTTTATTGACACTTTCCTTCAAAAGTCCCCAAACATTTTCTATTGGGTTTAGGTCAGGGCTATAGCTTGGCCAATCTAATAATATCATTTTTTGGGTCCGAAACCAGGCCTGTGAATGCTTTGAACGATGTTCTGGGTCGTTGTCCTGCTGGAAAATCCAAAACTTTCCATAGAACACGTGAGCAGATGGAAGTAAATGTCCCTCGAGAATATCTGTGTACCGCTCACTGTTCATATTCCCTTCAAATACACAGAGGGGCGTTGCCCCTATCACAGATATGCCACCCCACACGTTAAATGTCGGACTGTACTTTGGGCGCTGATACAAAGGTTTTTCAGTTTGTTTGGTCCAGAATTTCAGTGTATTAGGAAACAGCCACTCAGAACTTTCATCTGAGAAAATCACATTGTCCCAGTTAAAATTTCTATGCTGTAAGCACCAGTTCAACCTTCGCTCCTTTTGTTCAGGTTTCATGATCGGAGATGGAATTCCTCGACTTTTCTGCCAACCCATTGCATGCAGCTCAGTTCTATTTGTCTCCTTATAGACAGACACAATTCCTCTATAATAATAATAATAATAATGTGGCCATTTATATAGCGCCAAACTCCACACTAGGTATGCTCATAGCGCTAACAATCAAGGCCATTATTATCAATCGTATCCAGGCTTAAGTTCTCTAAACTCCTTCGTTTGTTTTTACAAACAAGAATGCCAAGCCGCCTCCTGTCACCGACAGTCAATTTTCTGGGCCTACCTGCGCCTCCCTGGTGCTCAATGCCATATCCATTTGCAATATTTTTTCAAAACACGATAAACAGTGGACAAAGGGATGCCTGTTCTACTTAAAATCACTTTAGCTGATCTGATTTCCTTGTTATAATACTCTAAAATCAACTTCCACTTCTCTAAATCATCCATACTGAGGATCACTGAAAATGTCGTCTGCTAGCAAGTAAACAAAGGGGGATAACTCTTCACAAACTAATGAAAAAGGATTAACGGAGTTGTCTCTCTTGAATGAAACCAAGCACTTGATAGCTGGTCAAGGTTGTTTATACTAGAAATCCAATTAAACATATTCCTAAAATTCTCAAAAATTTCTGGTCATACTATAAACAAGGAGTGCGCATGAACGGATATACTAACAGAGATGTTGCTCATGATTAAATGTGCCGGCAAAGGAGATAACGATGCCGGAAAAGTAAAGGTGATAAATATGGTAAGCATAACATGAAACCAAAGGGAATAACGAGAAACAAGAGGTAATAGATTCTTTTGTTCTAATTCTCTTCGATCAAACGAATTTATTTATGTTCAACAAAACACTTCGCATGGGTAATGCCTACCACAGCTGGTCACAGACGAGCAGGTTTATTGACACAGAAAGAGTATACATATAACCGATAGAGCAGCAAAGTACGTATCCGTCTCCTCATGAGGAGGCTGCACCTCCAGACATTCCTGCAAAACAAGTTCCACACCAAAATAATCCTACTTACACATACATGAAGTATACTGCAGATGTGCACGCAATGCTTGCTTCTTTTTTTAATATTTATACACAAATTATACACGTAATATGAGAAAAAAATAAAATACTCATCTCCAATTCCTTGCATCTCGACATAATTTCCTGCTTCAGGTCAGGTCACATATCCAGGTCACTCCATGTCATGTCAGGTCACTCCACTCCTCACCTTACATCAGAACCTTAGTAGCTCACTGCTAATACTGATCGCAATACTGCACATATAAACCATTCGGATTGTAATCCTCCAAACGGTTTAAATTTGTTTTTAGTCACGATATGGCTGAAATATTGCCGATGTGACTTAAAATATTAACTCACTCACTCACTCACTCACTCCATACGGATTAAAGAATCAATACTGAAACTTTCCAACATAACTTTGAATACACTTGATTGAAGAAAGCTGCTCGCTGTGTTGTGCAAAGACCTCGAATGGCTTAACTCATACTCAATCTTACCACGTCACGTGGTATCTTTCTCTCTCCATATACCAACGGAAACATACCTGAAAAGATATATAATCAATTGTCAAATCTGAGTGCTAACATGAACCCAGTGAAGATATTGAATATAGTCTGTTTGCTCCCACCTGAGACAGAGTTGGTGCCACTCAACTGATTCATATCTGCAATAAAATTTCTGGGCTGACCTTCCAGGAACAACAAAGGCCAGTATGGAGCGGAGGGCCACATAGGCACCACTATTTAGTAGAAGCATTGCATGCTAAGATGAAATGTACAGTTTTACACAACAAATGTACAGGAGGAACTGCCCAGTTCTCCCCATGCCACTGCTGAATAATGTATCAACGGCCTCCGTATCCGGTACCCACGATCTGGAATTAAACCTTTCTAACTTGATGTTTAAATAGTTAGCAAAACGATCAACAGAATGTGGCCCCCATCTTCCCTCCAAGAATTTGAAAACAATATCTGTAACTACCCAATCATCTGAATCTTCAAATCTACTCAGAGCATCGGCCTTTGCATTTTCTGATCTGGGAATCCAGCTGAACTTTAACCTTTTGTTGTACTGACTGGCTATCACAAAGATGGAGTGGCAACTTGTTGTAGATGCTGTTTAGAACTACCACATGAAGCTGTACGACATCATGGCTTACTATCTGTAAACCACTTTACAGTTTTGCCACTTAGAACCCTGGTAAACGCATTGAAAACTAATACTATGGCCTTCATTTCTCTCCACGTCGAACTACAAAGTTTCTCTTGAGAGTCCCACACATATTGAAACACATGATCAGAATATGCAACATAACCTCCACAATCTATGTCAGCTGCACCTGTGAACAGACAGCATAGGTTGGATAACAGTAGACAACACCCTCGGTTTTAGACTACGTAGGTTCTCTCAACAGCAATTCGTACACACAATGACAATTTTCTAACCTACGAAATCTACCCCAGGAGGAAGCCTTATGGACCTCTGAATACATGCATTGTGAACGTCTACAAACATCGTCCAAAACCGGAGTAAGAGCTATAACCTTCCCTGCTTAAGCAGCTAAACTCCTTGCTGTGAACCTTGGCAAATCAGACGTGAATGCTGAAAAATTCGACACTATATCTTCTGTTTTCTTGACAGGAATGGAAAGAACACT